GGACGCGCGACCTCGCACTACTCGAACTCGACTGCTTCGAAGGTCGTAGCGTATATATGGTGCCGAATGGTTTGAAATTGTATGGTTTTTTTTTTATGTCAATATCGAATTTTAAATATACAAACAAATTCCCCTTTTTCCCAAACATTTGCAGGAACAAGTGAAATAGATACCAACAAAATAGTTAAAGATAAAAAAACTTGTTGGAACACCGTCGAACTTGTTAACTAACTTCAGGCTAATTGATTATCCAGAACTACAAAAAGCAGTTTTTAGCTTACCAAACAAGGGTAGTCCTGATGAAATTACATCGGAATTCTTAAAAAATATTTACAGAAAAATACGGTATAGAGGAAAGAGTACTGAAATGGTTCAACGATTATTTAACTCATAGAAAACAGGTCACAAAAATAAATAAGAGTGAATCAGCTGAAATCGTGAATGATAATGGGGTCCCTCAGGGAAGTACTCTGGGTCCACTTCTTTTTTTGTTGTACATTAACGATATAGCACTTGTAATTGAAAACTGCCAGTTTCATTTATTCGCTGATGATACTCTGATCTATTTCTGTACAAAAAAATCTCAAACTACTTACTTGTAGAAATTATAAATAAGGAACTAGACAACATATATAAATGGTGTAATGCTAATTTACTTGAACTTAATGCGTCAAAAACAAAATTTATGTTAATGTGTAATAACTTGGAGTATAATGACTCTAAATGTGCATTTTCTATTGATATTGGCAACTGTACTATTGAATTATTGGAAAAAAATAAATATTTAGGCATAATAGTAGACCGAAATATGAATTTTAAAGAACATCTATCTCACTTATATAAATAATAAAATTGATAAAAATACTAACTTCTTCGCAAGGGTGGCACCGTTTCTTTCTCAATGGTCAAAGAGCATAGTTTATAATACTATTATTCTACCCCACCTAACATTCGCATCTACAGTTTTATACATGGCCAACAAAAATGAAATAGATCGCTTGCAAAAATTACAGAATAAATCCATGCGTATTCTACTAGGTATGCCAAGGGATACTCCGATAAAGACACTTCTACGAAGCTTGAACTGGTTATCGGTGGAGTATTTTTTGGAGTTTCAGGCAATGATATTTATCTTTAAAATGAGAAATGGTATGACACCTGAATATCTCAATGCAAAATTAGTTTATAATGAAAATGTTCATAATTATAATACTCATACAAGAACCGACCTACGTGTAACTGTAAAATCTAAAAGATCTTCAGAGAGGTCCGTCTTTCATAAGGGATTTGTTGCCTATAACAATCTGCCAGGGGATGTTAAAAATTCTGACAATCTTATTTCATTTAAAAGGAAATTGAGGATTCTTTTGCTGGGTGAATGTAATAAATAGATTTGAAGTGATAATGTGTGTTTTTGGCTGTGGTGTATAGGGCAATCCAAACAAAATGGTGGCCAATGCCAAAAAATTGGCGCCAAAAATTTAATTTAAACAATCGTGACATTTTTCATCAAAAAACTGTTTTTTGTGTATTTTGTGGAGTTTTTAGATGATTTTCTAGTGTTTGGGAGGATAATTTTCGTATTTTAAGATGGAAAGTTTTTAGTTTAAGAAATTATTAGTGGAAAACCCGGATGTTTGCAAAAGGTATGACTTTTGTGTGACAAACCCTTACCTGCTAAACAATTGACCTTTTCAATTTAGAAGCCTCTCTCTCTGGCGTCAGACTGTCAGATGCCAAAAGAGTATGAAAAGTATGAAAACAATGATTGACAGCTATTGACAATGGTTTGTTGACAAGAGTTTTATACGTGTGAGACTGGAAACTATTATTTCCTCGGTTTTTTCAAGGTTTTTTCCTAACAATGGTGATTGTGTGTAGTGTGCCTTTTCGTGAAAATAATTCCTATTCACCGGCGGACGTGTCTTTCCATAAGTTTTCATCAAATCCTACATTTGTCAAAATTTGGATACACAAAATCAGAACTGATACTCGCAAAAGTAAGGGAAATCCACGACCCATCAAGTATACAAAGATATCCACATTCAAGTTTAGTTTGCGGAAGCTGTTTGCTTCCCACATTTTCTTTCCAATTTCAAATTTCACTATTCTATGTCGGTCATTGTCATTTTCCATTCACTGAACAAAGATACCTAACTCATCGGTGGAGTCACCGATTAGAATAAAAACCAGGGGATTGCTAAACACCCTATACACTTGACATTGACGAGCAAGCAAATGTTGGCGGGAATCTGAATGTTTTCATACTTTATCGTCCATCTCTTTTAATTGAAAACGTCAATTAGGTAGGTACTATCAAGGATTTGTTTCCTGTTTAGTTTTTTCTTAACCAAATCCTGGATCCTGATGTTTATTTTATTTGTCTCCTATTCAAGGTATAGACACAAGCTGATAATGTGGGGGATAGTGAATGTCTTGGATCCAAACACCATTTATGTAGAGAGACTTTTTGGTTTTTTAATATGGATTTCATAAGATTTTTTCTCTTTTGCTACAATCCATGAAGCCCTCACAAAGTACAGACAAATCATTTTCCTCCGTTAAAAACCTGTGTTTTGTCTCTGCAGGAACGGCCTGAAACTAGACTTTCTCGCGATTAGAACGTCCCCCACAACTAAGTACAATACATAACGTATGCATTATCCAAAAATCAACACTTTACAGACTTTATACAAATCAAAAATCGCAATATAAAACCACATTTTTTTAAATAAAAAGGCATTAGCCTCCATTTTGAATTCCATTTTGACAGGTCGTTGGATTCCCTATTGTTTTTATATTATATTATCTGTGATTTTCATATTTTTATTCTTGCTTCTATGATTATTTTTATTTTTACGGACATGATATGTATAATATCTTAACTAGAACCAGTAAATGTTTATTTATTTATTTATTATTGCAAATCTAATTAAATTTAGTGATTCATTTGTAAATTAGTTGCTGAAGCTAAATAAAGACTCATATATATATAGGTGCGATATAGAATATTTGATCATTGGCAACAAATGCATACATCAGTTGCACTTAGAAAGCAATAGTTTCTTAAAAAATGTTACCGATTGGTTTACTAGAAATCGGTTAATCTTAAATAAAGAAAAGACAAATGTATTGTTCAGGACGAAGCAGTCAAAAACAGAGGGCATGGAATTCTTGGAGACCGCGAATTATGATAGAGTGGCTGTTTCTGAGGATCAAAGTTTCCGAGACTCCACCTGAGTGAATTCTTGAATTGGTCGACTCAAATAATTACATTGGTAAAAAGACTGAATTCAATTTGCTATGGAATCCGAATCATCACCCAATACATGAGTGAAAAAACTTTTAAGGATAGTGTATTTCACAAATTTTGATTCTGAGGTATGGCATCATATTCTGGGGCAGAGATGCATCAATTCAGAATGTTTTTGTAGCACAAAAAAGTGTTCTTCGTGTGATCAAAAAGATGGGCTTTAATGAATCATGTCGAACCATATTCAGGAGCTCAGGTATCATGACAGTGTACGCATTGTACATAATATATGAATGCCTAATATTTACATTTAGAAACAGAAATCTCTTTGAGGTCCAAATAAGACATTCTTATAATATAAGGGCAGAGAACTTAAGCTATCCGAGGCACAGGCTTCAAATATCGGAAAGACAACTGCATTATATTATGCGTGTAAAACTATTTAATAAGCTTTCCATGAACTTGAAGAATATAACCAGTCAACACCAATTTAAGTGTGAAGTTAAAAAATTATTGCTTGATCTCAAACCTTATAGCTTGCATGATTATGTAGCATTGTAGCTAATTTTAGGTATCTTGAAGTTTTATGGTATACATTTTCCTTATATTTAGTGAAAAATTTGAAACCTGGTTAGTGTTTTCCCTATTCGGTTTTTGATTGACTTTATTTCTTTTTGTTGTATTTTTGTTACACAATTTTGAAATAAAGATAATTATTATTAAAATGGCTACCACACATTTTTCCAGACTAATTTTCTAATTTCAAGGTGATCTCAATGAAATTAGGGCCAATTAAATTCTCTACAAATCTCTAGTCAGTAATTTCAAAACAGTTTCGATAGTTTCGCAGCAGCGAAGCTCTAAAGTCTTTGGAATTTGACTTATATCAAGGTGAGCGACCAGGAAGGATTTTTTTTTAAATTCTATCTTTTTTCTATATACTGGTAAAATATCAATCCATTCCCTCAAATAGTTTGCAAAATAAAATGTCCTTCAATATCGTTTTTTCAAAATTAGTTTTTTTTCCAAAAGTCCAAAAGTCTTACAATAATTTCAATGTTGCTTGGAAAGATCTTTTCCAAATCCAAATCTGATCCTTACGCAATTAGACCCAAACTAGGGCGAATTAAATCCTCTACACATTTCTCTTTATTAGTTTCAATGCACAACAGTTTCTCATAGTAAAAAAAAAAAGTGTCATTTTTTTTATACAAATTTCTAGTGTTTTTCTCATTTTTCGATGCTTTATTTTAATTTTTCTGTCTCAGTTCTTGTTCATTCTAGTTTCTTGCATTTTTTTTTTCAATAAAAAAATCAAAAAAAAATATGTAAAGAAATTTCAAGCTTGTTGCTAACAAGAAAAAAGTCAAAAATCAACTCTCTTGTAATGTAAAAAATAATATCTACAACATTTCAAATACAAAAATTGAATGATAATAAATGTAAAAAACTTTTATCCTAAAGGTATTGTAGAACACAATAACTAAATATGTTATCTAGGACCACAGGTCCTGCTGTGGGAATCTCAATCGTCAGTCGATACGTAACGTCCCGACTCACTTGTAGGAAGGCAATGGGATAGTCAGGTTGTCAATAGGTTGCGACTAGAACTTGAGAATCCCGCCACAGATGCATTTTTTTTTTTTTCAATTTCTGCTGATTTTTTTTATTTTGACTAACAACAGGCAGTATAAAATGTCTAGAGTATAAAACCAATTAAACAGTATATTATATTATAAATACTTACGTAGCATCAATACATTTAATTTCTATATCCTTGTTTCTGGATTCAACCATATCATTCATAAACATGGCATGAAAATATGGAATCGTCGAGGCGAGTACAATTTTATGGGCACTAAATTGTTGGCCCTCAACCTGCAAATCAAGTTATATCATCAGTTAGTAAACAAAAGTGTACCGGGTTATTCACTATACTTTGACCCTCCACCTGCAGCCTTTATCTTTACAGGTAGATGATAGGTGTAAATACAAAAGTTGCGTTGTTCGAGCAAAATTTTTAAAATCTATCATCAGAAACAAAAAGTTATTGTCAGAAATTTGAAATGTTGCGTATTTTCAACTTTTTCAAATGGAATGCCCTTTATTTATTTCCATATTTACTTTATTTCTTTTATAGATTGAGTTAAACCGAACGAGCTCGTCGGAGTTACTCCAAAACACACAGTTCAGATGTTATCATTATTTTTTAATATTAACATTATCGTCATCACCTAAAAGGCATCTTGCATCAGGGGAAAGGGGGATGCACTATGAGCGACTTGAGTGCTTAACGCATTTTTAAAAGGAACGTTCTAGCTTGTGACATTGATAAGCTCCGAGTAACTCAACGGGTGAAAGGAATACAGTAATTCTTGAAGAGCACAATTTTCCGATTCCAAAAATATATAGTTTGTCTATATTTGGTTGAGCCGTCTGCAATATATTTGGCTCTAAAAATTGTAAAAATACTATTCCTCCTACTATTCTAATGACTTAGATTTTGTGAATGTGATTCTAACTGTAAAGGTGAAAACTGCAGGTAAAATCAAGCACTTGGTTCCTCTGATAGTATTTTTATAATTTTTAAAGACAGATATGTTGGAGACGGCTCAACCAAATATAGACAATCTATATATTTTTGGAATCGGAAAATTTGTGCTCTTCAAGAATATAGAATCAAATATAGGGCATTGCCTAATCCTTCTCAACCATTCTTAGTAATATGAAGAAGTAAATGTGGAAATTCAACTTTTTTTGATTTTTTTTTTTTTTAATTGCAATACTTCGTACAAAGTATTAGGTATCTTTTGTTGATCCATACCATGATAGTTTATAAAAATTTGTTGTTAACCTTCAAAACAGCTCAACCAAAAAACCTCGAGAGAAACTACAAACTATACTTAATAGGTATTTTTGGAATCAGAAAATTGTGCTCTTCAAGAATATAGGTAGAATCAAATATAAGTCAGTCCGAGGGGCACTCCATTTGAAGAAAGTTGAATGTATGCAAAATTTCAAATTTCTTGACAATAAATTTTTGTTTCTGACCATGGATTCATTTAGTTAAAACTCCACAGCCATAGATTATGCACAGCTGCACAACTTTTGTATTTACACCACACCAATTACACCTATCATCTAGGTACCTTTAAAGGTGAAGGCTGCAGGTGGGGTGTCACATTATAACCAGACACTAATCTATGAGACTAGAGGTGGGCCAATCTGCGATTTTAATGGAACTGTGACAAGACGTGACTGCTCCAGTCGTGTCACTGTGACAAATAGCAGTGATTTTTTGGAGCAGTTTTACCTTGGTTGACGGCCGTACTGCTAATATTATGATAATGCTACGTCGCAACATGGCATAATCACAGTCATCAGTCACGGCCGAGAAAGTTGTTCCAGTTTCTGGCCTGTCCGTGACTGCGATGCGATTTATAATATTATATTATTTCGTTCGCATCACTTAGCTCGAGTTTTGTCCGCGCTGCATCGGTCGGATCTTGAAGCAGGCAGTGACAAAATGTCACTGCTACTTGACTGGGACTGGAGCAGGCCGTGACTATGACAGACGAGTAGCAGTGACAAAGTCACAGTTCGTGAAATCGCAACCCACCTCTATATGAGACACCCTGTACCTTGCCGTGTACTGTACCCACACTGATTAATGCTAATTGCTTGATGCAAGAGCAAAATAAATTGAGAATGTTTTATCTATAAACATAAATATAAATAATTTCAAGGTATACAGGGCCTTAAGTAAGTGTACCTATTTACATAAATTATTTATCAATCAATATGAGATAGGTATTAGTTGAAAATAAGCCCCTTAAAAAATTATCAGTTTATGGATGGCATACCTTCAAAACAACATCACACAATTTCCCCTGTCTCCGTATGTCAGCCATTAAAGGAAATGCGGAAGGAAATAGGTCGTTCTGTTGAAAAATTAAATTTTCACTATTCATTTCTAATAAATTCCTTGTTGACGATGGATATTCACTAACTTCGCCTTCCGTATCGCTGTTGTGTACTATATCGTAACGCAGATTCGGTAGCTTCCAATCCATTGTTGGTAAATATTGATACATGTGTTTAAACCTTGATTACCATGATTTTTTTTTTACACTTTGCAATTAGCACTTGCCACAAGACCACAGCTGGTGCGGTGCGAGAAACTTGATGTAGGTAGGTAGACGGTAGACCTCTCTGATTGTAGTGCAGTGGACTGGGTGAGTCGTAAGTCGACACTGGACTGGTGGAGTGGAGGCAGCAGTTACGTTCGTTTATTTGATCTCTGCGAACGAAATTGTTGAAAGCCGTTCGTTTAAATTGTCCTTCCAGCCTTCCGAGGAAAATTTATGAAGCTCGGTACGCCCGATAATCAGAATCAGCTGACTGTCTGAAATGTCGTCGACTGACGACTAACCTCGGGGCGAGTTCAGGAATAGTGTATTCCTTTCAAGAGTTTGAAACACTCGAGCTACTCGCTCCGGTGTTCAGTCGCCCTCGATTTGCAGGGAACAGATGCGTGGTGCAACAAACACTTTTCGAAAGGAATAAGGGCGGGTATTATAAAACTGCTTTGACAGTTAACTTGAAGTTAACTTTTTGAATTACGTGTAATTCCAGAAGTTAACTTTAAGTTAACTCTCAAAGTAGTTTTATAATACCCACCCTAAGCGCGTGAAGCCCCGGAGCTGTTCCGGTGCTCCTCCTAGGTGTGAAAGGAATACAACTAATGACACACCCAGTGTGAGTGTTACACCGGTGCCACGCCCTAGCTGTTCAAAAATGCTTAGACGCTGCTATGGGCCCAATGGCCAATTGTCAATTCCGGCACACCCATAAAATCGCACTCGCACCCTGTGCTCTATTTCTAAATTCGGCCCTCTGCTCTGTGCAAACGAACGCACTCAGTGGAGCACTCGGAACAGTGGTGTCATACGCAGGGTGCGTTCTGAATAACGTCATAAGCCGACTCAGTCAATGAACTATAACATCGATTAAAGGCGATTAACCGGTCGGTCATAGTTGACAGATAACCAATGAAGCAAACGTCATTTGTCAACCAATCGGTTATAAATGACATTAAATGCATTGTTCATCTGTCAATATAACCGAATGGTTAATCGCCTTTAATCGACTTAAACTACACGTACCTGGAATGGCCCGCCGATCTATAAATTTGCGGCAGATTGAGATGGAGAATGAGGGGTACACACATCTCTATTTATCTTATTGGCGAATCATGGAAATCTTTCCTTGTCTAAAAAATATTTTATTCGAGATTAGGAATATGCCAAACCGTGCCAAACCTAACAGCAATGAACTGGAGAGAGAAAGGGATACCCCACTATGTAGGTTTTTTGGACGCACTAAGCGAGATGACATATGCCATATCCGACAACGGTCGGTGCCATTCCAAATACGTGTAGTTTATAGTTCATTGCTCCAAGTACACTCGGGCACTCTAAAGAAGTTTTGGGGAACTAAAGTAGGGTGACCATATTTTTCTTGTATGAATGCTGTACACATTTAAAATTTTGGGAAAGGTGAGAGGAGAAAGAAAAAAAAGACACAGTACCAAAACTAACACCAAAGTCACAAAGTGCAACCTGCAAAATCGTTCCTGGCTGGGATCACAAGTAGAATTCTACTTTCATGACGTCACCCGCGACCCATTTATTGCGTACAGTACAGGCCATCATGACGGCTACTAGACAATTTGACGTCATGAAAGTAGAATTCTAGTATAATTCTACTTGTCGTGATCCCTAAGTCCGTGTCCCAGCCCAGGGGCCTTATTCTGTAAGGAACGAAGCGTTCGATTCGGTAGAATTTTTTCGATTGTGACGTCATTTTAGGTTTGGTAGCGCGAAAACGAGCGAAAACTAAACCGAAAATGACATCACAATCGAAGAAATTCTACCGAATCGAACGGTTGTTCCTTACAGAATAAGGCCCCAGGGCTGGGATCACGACAAGTAGAATTCCACTTTCATGACGTCATCTGCGATCTATTTATCGCCTACAGTACAGGCGATGATGCCGGTTGCTTGGCAACTTGACGTCACGAAAGTAGAATTCTAGTAGAATTCTACTTGTCGTGATCCCAGCCCTGGATCCTGATTATCCGATCAATGACAGGCAATGTGGCCACCTGCCAGACCAAACAAAATCGGAGTAGAACTTCGAGAGTAGAAGGTGGAAGGCGTTTAGCCACATGTTTGTGAATTTATCCTGAACCGCTAATGTTTTGTCTTTTTTCTAGAGTTTTTAGAAGTGTAGAATAGAAAGGGATAAAAAAGGTAGTTAGCATTAAAAAGAGTAAAGCCTTATACTCAACACCGCGAAATTCGCTCTTTTTTGACATTGCTTCGACAATTTGACGTTTAATTGATTCACGCATAAAACGTCAAATTGTCGAAGTAATTTCAAAAAAGAGCGAATTTTGCTGTTATGAGTACTAGGCTTGATACTCTGGATGATCGCGTAAATGACGTAAATCGCAAATGTATATATGCGGCGTTAGCATAGACTTTCGCAATGACCTATTAACACAGTGTTAATAGGACATTGGACTTTCGCTGTACGTTTGCTGTACAAAATCAAATGCTGGACAGACTTTCAAAATGCTGTACAATACAGCGAAATGCTGTACGTATGGTCACCCTAAACTAAAGCCTAGTACTCATAACAGCGAAATCCCCTCTTTTTGACATTGCTTCGACAATTTGACATTTTATGCGTGACTCAAAATTCAATATGGCGTGGCGGCCAGCAACTTTGTTTTGAATAAT